TATATATATATATATATATATATATATATATATATATATATATATATGTATATGTATATACAGAGTGGGCTATTTTCATTTATCCAACCGAATATTTCGAAAATTAAGACCGGCAGACAAAAATGTTTCAGACAAAAGTTATATGGATCCATGGAGGATATAAGAAGGTACCATTGGTTTGATCTTGCATGGCCTCGCCAAGGTCAGGTTGAGGTCAACTTTGCTTTTTTAAATAGAAAAATACATTTTTTATTACGAAATTTTATTCTAAGTAAAAAAGCAAACAACTTTTGTTTGAAAACATTTTTAACCGACCTTTATTTTCTAAGATATTTACGAAAATATCTACAAAATTATTGGTTTCAATAATTTTTTACGCGAATTCTATTAACTTTACCGAAAAATAGCGAGAGATAAAAATTGTCTATTTTCTTCTCATAGAGCTCTGAGATTTTTTTCAAAATTTTTTAATTAACTTTCTAGTACTTCAAGAAAATGCAAGGAAATGCAGTACTAAAAAGTTAATTAAAAATTTTTGGAAACTTTAGTTTTGTCAGTAATTCCACTAATTGTTTGGCTAATAAAAATGTAAACCTGTTCGTACTTTCTTATTAATTCAGTCTTATTAGGACAATGATTACGTTGACAACTTTACGTGAGAAGCGCAATAGAACACGCTTGCGGTGGCCGCGCGGTTTCTTCCGTCGCGGAGGGTTCCCGGCGCCTGCGTGATGCCAACCACGCGTGCAGGCCGAAGTATATAGGAGCGTGGCTGGCCACCGCGGCCGTCACATTGCGTCCCCGAGTACGTCCTCCAGCTTTGCCGAAGTTTGAGAGTTCTTCGGTTGGTGGTTGGTGGTGTCCGAAGTAAGTACCGTCGAAGAGGATCGCCGCCGCCACCGCGGTTTCCGTCTCCGCCGTCGTCGCCGTCGCTTCCTCGAAGATCCGGTTGTCACACACGAATCGATCGAGATCGAGTGGTCTCGCAGAAGCCAGCCGGCGCCGGATTCGTCGATCTCGAGGCACGCGAGATCCACGTCGTCGTCATCGTCGTCTTCTTCGACGGCGGGACCAGACGTCACGTTCGGGGACGTTCCAGAGCGACTCTCTATCCGGCGACAGCGTCCTCCACGCAGCTACGCGGGCTTGAGGCGCGCGGACGTCTTCTCTTCGGCGGCGAACGCACACCCCGCGAGCGCACTCAGGATCGCGCGGATAATATGGGTGTCAACGTCGTGCCGTTGGTCGTGATAGCGATGGTACCGATCATCACCGGCAGTTTCGGACAGCGTGCCATCGGCAAGAGAAGCAGCTCGGCCAACATTCTCGCCAACGACGATTACCCCGATTATCCGGCCAAATACGACGATTATCCGGTGAGTCAATCGATAGCTCGTATTTCTCTTTCTTATTTTTGTAACGGCTCGTATCTTTGTAACGGTTTGGCTGTTCGCGGCTTTTTCGCGACGATAACGTGCCGCGGGATCTCCCGATTTCTCTTTCTCTCTTTACCTCCCTTACGCCCTTTCCTTTTCCCGCGCGCGCGGCCTTGATAAGTAACAACCGTCTTTGATTTTCGGGGAAGTGAGGGCTGCACCGTTTGTTCCATTGCGAAAATCGGAGAATGCGAAATTTAACTAACGAATTCGCGCTCGATATCATCACGTCAGACGCGATGGCCGCGCGCTCGAGTTCATCGCGGTCGACGCAGGCCGAAAGTTTCGACGAAACCGCGTAAAATGCAAAATACCCCGTCGGCTGGGGATTTGTCTATTAGGAACTTACTCATCCTGCGCTCGCGTGTTTTTGGCAAGAGTCGAATGATTCTCCGCCACTCGTATGAATATCGCCGAACCAAATTGTCGATAAAAAGAGAGTAAAAACCCAATCCGGCAGAAAGCTGTGGCTGTGACGTACCGTCGCGTTCTCCCGGTTCCTCTCTTCTCTTTCTCTCTCTCTCTCTCTCTCTCTCTCTCTCTCTCTCTCTCTCTCTCTCTCTCTC